TGTATCAGTAATTACGACAATGCTTCCAGAATTTCATGAAAAAAATCGTCTGGAAAAGTTAGCGTTTTTCAGGATAACGCTCCGTGTCATGTTTCACGAGAGGTTAGTAAATTGATTTAGTTAAGGAGTCTGGTTAACTTATTATTTGCTTTTAGACTTCAGAAAAGATGCGTGACGCAAATGTTCAGTTCGTGCAACTCCCTCCTAATAGCCCGGACCTCAACGTGATTGAAAATCTGTTTTCGGTTTTCGAGACTAACCTTAAACCCCAGTAGCTAGGTTGAGTTTTTATGTAGATTTGCCCGCTCTTCATATCCAACACACCAAACAGTGATAAATAAAATCCTTTATCTAGAATGGACTCTATCAAATACCTTGATGTAACAATAGATGGCAATCTTTATTGGTCGACCCACATTCACAACTGCATTGGTAAACTGCGGTGCCTATCATTTCAAATCCGAAAGCTCAGGCAGTTTCGTGCGTCTCAGTCCGTTATTTCTACCTTTGTTTATCATTGTGTTTTTCCCATCTTACTCTGCTGTTCCTCTGCTACTTTTTCATGGCTTACTTAGACAGGATTTTAAAGTCTTACACCGCGGTCTAGCCATTATTAATCTTGTCTCTTTTATTCCTGTGAATGAGTTAGCTTTAAAGCTTTCAGAGTATTATGTAACTTCTTGTGTGAAATTTTTGCTGAGAGCATTCTCACAGATCCTGACCACCCATTGCACACATAACTGACACGATGTCGTTCCCACCATTCCATTAGCTCCTAATTCCGGCAAATTTCATCTCGAATTAACGCTTACCGCAATTCACCAATCCCGTATCATGCTTGTTTACTCATAAACAGAGAGCGGACAATAAGTGAAATTTGTCTTAACCTCGGATTATGAAATGTTCGCATGCCTGTAAAAGCTTTCCTCCCCGTTGATTATCTACATTGTGACGGTTAGCGTGTATGATTTTTTTGAGTGAAATGTGAGCTCCAGTGCTTGCAAAAGCTATACACAATACACTACAGTACAATGCAATATAGTTTCCGTTAGGTCTTAATCGAAGGTGACATATACAGATGTGCGCAACGTGCATGCCTTTCATAATTCGCGAATTGATCACAAAAGTTTATTGCAAAAAATTCCTCACAGTGTTCGCACCAGGTATCCATGCACAGGGATCAAACATGAAACGGATTATCTTTCGCTTGCTGTGAATGCGTGCATGCTATTTCCATTGACATGGCAACAGAAAACGACAATGCGATAGATCAGGTTTATGACAGATGTGAATCGTTACTACACGAAATAAAATTGTTGATTCAGGTGGGCAAAATTGATGGTGGAAATCATGAACAGTGGAACGAGGAAACAGTCCGAAATTGGCTGACTTTTCAAGGTCACTGGAGCACCAGTGACTGCACTGAAAAGGGCACTGTGTTTTCACACTACATACTGTTTATGAACTTGTTTCTCCAAATTATCATAAGCTATTATAAAATTAATTGAAAACTACTTGAACGGCGATAAAAATATTTGTGATGGCCGTCAAATAGCACTGGAAAGCTGTTTCATTCCGTTTGGGACTCGTCAGCGGTGTGTCCTTTCATGTCCCCATCCGGAACTGAATAACGCGAATTCGGGTTTGTATTTTAATCCTAAAATCATCAAAATTACCTTAAAGTACATCTGAACAATAAAAGGGGTAATTTGAACTTGTTTTTGAATTGGGAATACAGTATCCGGATATATTTCCCTGGATTTCATCAGGTACATACTACAGATTATACAATATTCCTGATCACAATAAATTGATATAGATGACCGTTAATGATTCGTAACTGTCATGGTTTCTATCACGGCAACGCCAAAATAACGAATGACACATTTTTGTTTAACTAACATATGCTTCCATCTCTGAGTCACAGTTACTTCAGCAAACTGATCTAAACGTCGAAATATCTAGGCAAAATCACCATAAATGAGTAGGATTCATTGTATTGTCTGTTATTGTATGTCATGGAACTTGTCCCGTCAGGTATCAATATCAATCCAGAATAGTGTACAGATTTGTAACTGCTCTTTATCATCAGAAATCAGTCAACATCACCTCAAAACTCAAACAAATCATTATGGATTGCCGCAAATATTTGATTTGTTTGCATCGGCTATTTTCGATCAGGGGTAAAGACGACGGGAATCTTGAGCAGCGCAGCGAAGAAAGATCTGTAATACCGAATAGCGATTAACACACACTCACACAAACACACACATACACACGAGATCCACAGAATGCTTCGATGCTTGATCACCCGTCTACAGATTCAAACTTGTCAGACCGATTAATTTATTCAGTAAATTTTACATTCCCCGAATACCATGCGGAAAAACCGTTGATTCACAAAGCTGGATGTCACTAACCTAATTCGGTCGGGTCACCAGAAATATCCGATCGTCAGTGTTGAATTCAAGCTGTTACACTCCAATTGTTGTAAATTCACAAGACTATGTCTGGCGCGAGGATATTTGTTTATTACGAATGATGATCAGGTTATCGGTGATTTGGCATACCTAGGAGTCAAGGCATTTCAAACCAATCGGACATAGAATCATTTTCCGACAGTATATCACAAGTGCAATCATTCTCGCCACAATCCGGTATCCGGTTGAATACTTCCAAATGCTTCGAGTACATTTTTAGTCTCTCCCGATCCGAACATCCCTTGGAACCTTCAGTCCTCAAACCCGTACCCTTCAGCGGAACACATACAACCAAATACCTAGGAGTCACCATAGATAGCAATCTACGGTGGTCCTATCATGTGTTCACTTGTGTTGGTAGACTGCATCGCTTATCGTTTCAAGTACGCAAACTTCGTCAATTTTGTGTCAGACATGAAACCGTATGTTCCTTTGTTTATATCAATGCATTTTCCAGTCATACTTTATTGTTTGCCCGTTATTTTCCCTGAACTACTTAAAAATGATTTCATTACTCTACGTCGAGGTCTGGTAATTATCAGCCGTGTTTCTCCTATTCCTTTATACACCATGTTCTGTAATTTGCACATCACTTCATGTGAGAATTTCGCTCATAAGATGCTCAATGACCCCAGTCATTCGCTCAATCCTGATCTATCTGCTTGCTGTTCCCACACTAAAACGCGGTCTAATTTTCGCTGGTTACGCTCCCGCATAAACATTTATCTCACTCAACGGTTCCCTATCTGGTTTGTACTCTCACTGACACGACGAGGATCTGTAACGAACTAATCTTAAATTTACAAAGATTGATGTATGCGAATTTTCAATCCACTTTTTTATCCCATTGTACCACCGGTGAACACATTTTTGACTGAAATGTAGGCATGGTTGCCTGCACAAGTGATCTATAATACAAATAATAATAATAATAAATAATATAATGAAATAGTACAATGCATAGAAAAAATTGTCTCATTCGGAACTAATGTTCAGAATTATCCATCCCCAAATACGATCCAATAGTAGGCGTTCAGTCTTGTTGCTACCGTACTGAACACAGTAATTCGCTCCAACAGGTCTTGTTCAATTTTAACCGTTGAACGAATCTGCCATACAGCATATACTAAGGCGTACTGATCACAAATGTGAGTAAAGTCTCAGTCAAAGCAGATGCTTTTCGTGTGCCATAGCGTGTTTACACGAATTGAACTGTAACAATAATGAATTAAATTGCATATGCTGTATTCGGTTGTGTTACGTTTGCTCACGGATGTTGGAATGTAATGTGTCCATGATTTGTCAAGTTTTACCTTGAAAGAACCAATTGTCGTGGCACAAACGACATAAGATGGTAAGCAATTCCAGACAGTGCACACTCTGACGGTGAAGGAATGACGTCTACAGTGCAGTCCAGATCTTTGGAGTAGTAACTTGAATGGGTTTCCCCGTAAATGAACATTTAATAACAACGTCAATAGTGGGTGATAAGAGTGGTTTAGGTTGTATAATATTTGGTACACTAAAATCAAGTCTCATCGAATCCGACGGTACTGAGCTGAGTTTAGACCCAATGACTGCAGTCTCCCTATGTATGAAGCATAATAGAGTCCTGTGATCATCTTCGTGGCGAGCCTCTGTGAACGCTCCAAAATCTTATGATCATTTTGTAACCATCGGTTTCAGGTTTTCACGGCATTCTCAATATGCAGCCGATGTATGCTGACAGCAGACGTGGAAATACAGATGGTTCAAAATAATCAAAAATGCTTTTAAGCAGACCGGCATGTTTGATTATTGTTGATAACTCCTTGGCACAGTTATTAGAACAGCTCAGGTCTTCGTGAACTAGAACACCCAAGTCTTTCTCTGTCAATGCATGCAGCAGTAGATTGTTTTCGAGAAAATAAGGAAAACGACCATGGTGGCGTAGCGAAATCACCTTGCATTTGGAGCAGTACATCCCAACACAACGTTTCCGGTAATCTTTGACCACACTTACCAGTTCAGGACAGGCCAAAAAACCAAGTCTTGAATCAGGTTCGTTGTTCGAATTACGTCACACGCACGCACGGACGCACGCAAACACACCCCACTCTCTCTGATATATGTTACCACACTCCGAATATTTATTACTGCGTCTGTCACTTAACCAGATGGAGCATTACAGATCGTGCATCATTCATGTCGAGAACCTTTAACTGATTTTCTCACTTAGTTCCCAAGGTGACAGACCGGGGCAATCACTAACCCTGGCGTATTTTCACTCATTCAGTTACATGAAAATTGTTTCCTCGGTCTTTACACGTTAAACAACAGCCAGTTGTGGACTGACTAGTCTTCCCCCGGAAAATATGGTTGTGAGTATGGAGATAACAGTCTTTAAAAAACTGCAGTGCGTAAACTGATATCCTTGATTTTTTCTGTGTGTGTGACAATTTCTGAACATAAAACATTCAAGCAAACGGTTACTCTTTTCAAATCAACTCATAGAAGAACAACTTGGTTACTGTTCCGTGCTTAGCCATCCTTCACTACGAGGAACGCGGCCACTCGGAACAGTTCCGGCTGAATGAGATCGGATGAACGCGAGTATTTGGCCGTGACCAGCCGGTTGGCGTACGGATGGGGTATTGGAGCAACATTCCGGGAGAGATGGATGATGTGGTACACTACGCGCTGAACGGGAATGGATTGTGGAGGTGAATGCGGGCACTGGCAAATGGATACACACTGAACTAAATGATACATCGATAAAGAGGCTAGTTTTGTTTCAGTGAATGGGTACCAGAACAAGCTCACAAATATCAGTCAGTTTGTACTTGTGTGTGTGTGTGTGCGTATGCGTATCCGTTTCTCTGTGACAGTGTGCGCTCTTTATGGCCACCAAGTATTGAGCAGACCGAATCAGATCCGTTTACACAATTACTGAACTCAGTTTGACGATATGGGTGGAGATGGCCCACATTTTCCCGTCATGTCCGAAATTCGCTGGGAAAAAATCATTTAAAAATTCGTTTTTGTTTTTCTTTCCTTATACCACGAACCTTTTTCCATCTCTTCCGCGCATATTTTTGGCGGTCCCTCGGCTATGTAGTTAATCTCTTCTCTTCTGTATCAACCTGATCCTGGATCGAATCCATTCATCAGAATGTTCCCGGCTTCTCTTTGCCCATTCACAACCACCAACTCCCAAAGATTACATATAATGTGGGATCATTCAAAACTATCTCTGTGACACACACACACACACAAGGGTTGAGTGCATCAAGTACTTGGGAATCATCATTAAGTTTCAGTTTCGGTTTGTATAACCATTGACCATGAACCTTCGTGCGGCGGTTTTGTTTTCTGTCTTTTGGCTGCCAATTTGGATGAAGAATCAGGAGGAAGACAGGAAAATTGACGATACTCCTCCATCTGAAATGGAGGTTTCTCTGGGAAAATAAGTTTTCTCAAAAGGCATAAACCCTTTGGCTCAGATGGGCCGTTCCCATCAACGTTTAACGATGGAGTTTCAGCGTTAGTCTCGGACTTAACGAAACTCCTGGGCTCAATAGGGATAGGGGAAAGGTTCCAACTGAATGGTGTGAATCGGTGATCACATTGATTTACAAGAAAGGCGACAGGTCCCCTAGTGACAAAACCATAGATAAATTAGTTTAACCAACATCATCTCTAAACTTTTCGCTTGTATTATAATCCGTCGATGGTCTACCGCACGTGAACGGTGCACGCGTGAGTACCAGGCTGGTTTCCGACCTGGTTGAGGTTGTATCGATCACATTACTACTTACATGTCCAGGTTTTCACCCTTCAGGTATGTATCGTAAGCCCAGGCAATTACAGACACCAAAAACCAATCCTGTTTTGCCCACCTCAAACCAGTTTATATTTCGTGAAACTATACCTTAAAAGTTGACTTCACGGTCTCATTATCATCAACTATTGTTCCCTCATATCCAACAAGGATCGGGCCTGTAAACCAAATGTGACATATGTTTTACCATACATCTGGTTTGTTCAAAAACCAAGTTTGGATAATATCCATCTGTGTGCCGCACAATTGGCATTCCCCCGGCCGCATTCTGGTGCAGTTCAACTCACAGTAACATTTATCCAAATTTCAGTCTTTTTGTGATGAGCGCTACATCATTTACAGTTGCATCAGCTTTATATTCCACAAATGCAACTGCCCAAATCAGCGTGTGTTGAAATCCCATTGCCCAAGCAAGTTTTTCCGGTCAAAGGCTCTGTCCTAAGAGCTAAATGTGACTGGCTCCTTGGAAAGAATAACCCGGCTCCAGACATGATCATGATCTGGATCATGGAGTTCCTTGGGTGTTGTATATGAGAGACGTCCCCAGCATCATTCGGTGATTTTTATTTTGAGGGTGCATCTTTGATGTTTGCACAACAGCAGCAGGAATTCATCCCTTGCCTCGGAAGTGAGGGGGTCAATTAATTTAGTTTTAAAAGGCTAGTTCCATCGACCTTTGTCACGACACCGTCACTGGGCTTATGCGGCTTTCATTAAACAGGAGCCAGATGGCCAGCCTGAAACTCACCACACCCTGGTAGTGCCACCACTGTGTTCGCGACTGCTTATTTGTTGCGCTATGTCACAACTTATTCACGGCTAGCCTTCTTCGGTGAAGTTATCCCCCTATCTACAAACTGGGGACGCGCCTGGTAGCATTCAGCTCTGCTTAACCAGAGGGTATTCAGTTATATTACACCATAAATAATGAAGGATTACTAAAATGTGGAAATCATCACTGCTTGAGGTGGGAATGACAATAAGTTGAAGGCATTCGGTGGCTCAATGGACTAACAGCTTCCGCGTATGGTGAACAAGGAAGAGAAAAATCACGGGGTTGGTTAGTTCAGAACTTCCCAAGAGGGGAGGGACGGGGGTGGGGTCAGCAGAAAGCATACTGGGGAGAGACACGCAAAAGTGAAATCGCAAAGATCTCGTACTGATCCAATCAAGCGCATATTAGGCACATAAGTGAGATGGGTCAGCAGCCGAGCTCTACACCGGTAAGCGAGCCCTTCCTAGAACACATGACCGCAGGTGGCAAGCTCCGTGACAGTGTGACGGTTTAGCAAAAAACGTTACTTATTCCGCATAGCACGGGCACATTAATGCACACTCTTCCCTGATTCTCATCCGAACGGTAAAACTGGAGTTTAAATGAAACATATTCAAGATTGTTCAAATTGTTTTTTTGGCAGATTTTAAGTTTGTATGTCGATTGTGAAAAGTTCAGAAGCCTCGGTGGGATTCAAACCCACGCATGGACGCCGCCTACGCTTTTGCACAGAGCACGCTCTACCAACTAAGCTACGAGGCCACACCGATAGCACTGTTTTTTTCACATTCGAATTACCCATGCAACTTATCGAAGCATATGGTATCCATCACTTAGCTCCCGAGCGAGCCCGATCAGGGCCACGAAGCTCAGCTGGTAGATCGTGCGCTATACAAAGCGTAGGCGGTGTCCATGCTTGGGTTCGAATCCCACGGAGGCTACCGAACTTTTCACAATCGACATAAAATATTCAAGATTGTCTGTCTAGTCGGAAGCACCGCGTGGCAAAGCCAGCCTTCGTCACGTGAATAAAACAAACCATGAATAACACATTTTCTTTCAGTTTGGCCAAATCAACGTATGGAAGTTGATATCCCAGAGTTTTATCAAACCGAGAATAAATCCGAAAAGAAACCCTGGGTGCCTTTGGGGTTATTGAAAACTAGCAAAAGATGAAAATTGATCATGTTGACGTTGCATTCATGCAAATTACGTCAGGCTGTGTTATGTTCTGAGGAACAGAACAACTGTTCAACCCTGTCCGGGTTCTACCCTACTCCGAGTATTTGACCGTATAGTAGATGTTCTTCAAATGTTGTTTTCTTAGAGGAAATCCAGGCTAACTTCACCATTCATCCACCTCTGGTTGTGAAGCCAGTCAACCGCATTGTTTTCGAATCATCCACAGTATCACGGAATTCCACGTGCCATCGAGCACGCGTCCAAGTCGTTTGGAACAAAATCGATGATGGTACTGAATCAGAGACAAAAACAAATCACGTTCCTTTTCGTGTCTGTTGTTTTATTTACTTTTTGTTTGTTCGAGTGCCAACGCGGAACATGGTATGTTCCTCACCCACCCTTCTTCCTTTCCTCCTACTGCCCNCCGCCCCCCCCCCCCCCCCCCCGTTGCACCCTAACGTCCACACCTCATTGATTTACGGGGCCGAACAGATACGTATTTAGCTCTCACGCTATACAATCGGTTTGCATTGAACTACTACGACGACAACTACTCATACTTGTTCAACTGGGTGGCGGAGAGGGGTGTAAAAGAGAGAAAGAGAGACAGAGTTGGAGCAAGCAAGTAACACTCACGCATCTCGTGTGTTCGGGAATTTAATAGTGAAACATTTGGATGAAAATAAAACAGTCGGTACTCTCATAAACGTTTCCGTTTTATTTTATATCAGATAGAAAGTGAGTTACAAAGACCGTGTTGTAACCGAATGTGAGTTTGCCGTGTCGAATGATTAAATGTCATTCAAAGCTGGAGGTAGATCAGGGGTAACTGGATGAAGATGGATTTTTGAGAACTTGTGATTAATCGATTTTGAGGACTTTGAGAATCGACCGAAACGAACAAAAGTGAATAGAATGAACTGACTGTCATCAACTGTGATTCTGGTGTACATATATCTTGTGTTTTTCACACTATATACTTTTGCTTCTGATTGCGTAAAAACCAGGAGTTAATAGCGATTGGTCCTTTTTGATGCGTTCACGTGATCTTGTTCAACAACTTTCTAACTTCTGACAGCAGACATTATTTGTTTTCTTTTCTAGACGAACACATCTGAGAAATTCCGTTTTCTGGAATAACTGAAAAACAATACTCAGGGTTTTGTAAAATGTCGGTTCTTCAGGAAGTGCTCTCGATACATTTTCTAAGTACACCGGACACAAATCTCATTTGGGAAGAGAATTACAGGCGTTTATATAAAAGCTTGAATCAGTCAAATAGCCTGGTTTGCAAAATTAGTCTTACACGGACGAATCATAAACACACAATTTATGCATTCGAACAGAAGATTAATTCATACAACACTTTGCAACAAGTTGTTGAAACTTAAATTCCTAATTGGAGTAATTCTCTTCATTAAGGTTCCGTAAAGTTACGCCTAACGTCAATGATCTTTTGTGAACATGTTAGGCAATAAAAGTTAGATTGTAATGACCAAGCTGTTTACATCGATCGAGATTTTAGCGTCATGAATGAGATGACCTCATCGTATTGTCATTTATACTACACCCACCTTACTCGCTCCATTTTCTACCTAATGGGATGGTAGTAATTGCAGTAATAGTAGTAATAGTGCACAATGAACGCGGAATACGAATCACGGAATATGAATCACTGCTTGGCATTCACGGACTGGATCACGTAAGCACTGGATCACACTTGCACGCAATATCCGACGTAACCAAAGGGCGAGGAAAATGGCCACAGGAGTAGTAGTTCGTTTATTGAAAGAAATTAGGGGGATTAAATAATGTGTACAAAACAAGCGCATTGGTCATCCAGGCCTCTGCCAATCGCGTTCAAGTATCTCTGACGTTATTCAGTTTCTGTCTGGCCCGCATGATTTCTGACTGGTTGATACAATCGGCCTATGCTTTGTAGTTCAGAAGATGTGACACGTACGCGCTTTGCTGATGTCACCTGGGAAGCTTGATTTATTACAGTTGTCCGAAAACTGTAATGTGTCACTCCGTGGTATGCGTCATCTCGTAGGACAGGATCACCACAGGGATCTTTGACCAGTGCAACACACGATACATTTGTGTGTATGCGTGTGTGTGTGTGTTCGTGCGAGTCTGATGAGCAGTCGACCGGAACATAAAAAAAGGATTCAATCAAATATGACTCCCTTAAATCTGAAACGTTTCCATCCGCATCGTGGACAAAGGCCTTCTGGGTGAAGAATGAGTTGGCTTCCTTCAATCACGAGCATGCTCTTGCGTCGGTGAATCAAAACGTGTTTCCTTGTGTTTCCTACGCAAATCGTGTACCCTGTGATGCAACTAGCATCTGTGTATGATTACTTTACGGTATGGGGTGGGGTGGGGGGGGACGCAAAATGTGCTTACTACGGTTCTAGGCACTCTCGCACCATTTCGAATCCCTCAAGTGTTGTTCTACGTGAAATTCTGCCTCATTTTATCAATATCCCCTTTTCTTTATCAAACTTATTCACCGATTCGCCACCAGTTGAGTAGGGGTTACGCATGCTGCAGTGGTTGCAAGCCCGGGAACCGTTTAACAGATAGTTAGTTCTTGTTGACTTCTCAATCTCAGTCGTTCAAATTATCACATATTCTCAAATGTGTTGATTTTATTTGTTTTTAGCCCCAAATGCGGTGTCCGTTCGCTCAAATGATTTTTGACCAGTTCTTTTCGTTTCCCGTCCTAGTTTTACGTATTTCACACTCGGAAAGCTCAGTACTCCTCGTTAGTTGATATACAAGCTGGCTATTGTAAACATTTTAACCGATTGTACTACTAGCCAAATAAGTTCGACTTAAATAGTAAGGGGATTTTACCGTAAGTGTCAGCTGTTCCTCTGAGGTTTTATCCGAAGCCAGAGTCAATTATCTGCTACCCTAACTGGATTCAACGTGAGCAAATATTTTACAGCTTGAACGATAAAAAACCACTTTCTGATACAATTTCTTTTATCCATATACGATTGCAGCACCCGATAACAATTCAACATGGGTACGTATGGAGAATTGTCCTACCCCCCCCGGGAGATAGTCCCATTCCCTACGTTGCACCAATTTTACCACACGTTTTAGCCTTGGTTAAAAAGTTAGAAGAGTATTGGGGTTCACTATCCCATGAGGTGCCCTCTGTTTGCTCATCTGTCATCGTTTTTCTATCAGGATCTTATTTCCAAGTTCTTTTTTGTCACCGCATTTCATGAACCTTGCTCGGAATGCATCAATTGTGTGATGGTGAAAGTGGTGGTGATGATGATGACGGTGGTGGTGGTGATGGTTGTGGTGGTGGTGGTGGTGGTGTTCGTCGTCATCGTCGTCGTGGTTTTTGTGGTGGTGTTGATTGTAATGTTGATGATGTTGGTGTTGTTTTTGTTAGTGTTGGTGGTGGTGGTATTACAAGCGAAAGCAGCACCAGTAGCTCCTTTGTGTGGGAATAGGATGCCAACTTTTGTAATAGTATCCCTATAGGATCTTTTGGCTTCAATATGAGTCTGGTCTTACCGACCACGTAGCTAGTGGTTAAATAACCTATCGGCATAATTGATCATAAAATGTTACTCGCTCGAAATCACAGATAATGTGTTCAAAGGGAACGGAGGTTGATTTGATTAGAGACGGCAAACTCGAAAGTAATAAATGGGAGCGTCTAGTTGAAACCGGAAAAAGAGACGAAGATAGTTCAGGAACACGGATAGGCTGTACGAGTAATGCATCCCGAGAAACTGTGAACAAGAAACTAGATGGTCCACCGACCCACCCCCACTCGTATTTTTTCAGTCCTCCAATGAGTTATTCGTTTATCATGCAAACATTGTGATCTTTGTCAGTGCGAAGACATTTATGATAGAATATGAATGATTTGCGGACTGAAGCAACATCCCGCAAATCCTTGTTTGTTAACCATCCAAAACGACTCCTTGGAGCAATTATACAAATGTTTCCATTTGACAATGTTGTTGTTCGCACCAATTTTCCCGGAACCCGGTCAGCACAATATTGTCTCACTCCCTTTTTTTAATTTTTCGACCGCCGTTGTGCAACGTGTTTTCGTCACAGCGCAGTTAACTTGCTTGAACCTCTTCCGAGTGAAATCACATTGCGTACCAAAACCCAGTCAGTTCACCACTGTGCGCTCATGATTGATGATATCTTGGGTTTACGGCCCCAGTCTGCTGGATATATTCTCATTTCAAGTGTGCCAGTATTTGGTGTGCCAATGAACAAATTATACTGAAAACTTGGTCTTCTTTTTGGGAATTTGTCAGAAGTAAGTGAACTTCATTTAGTACCCCCGGTGGCACTCGAACCTTTGCTCCTTCTCTCCATTCGTGCTCTTTAACAGCACTATCAGTATCTAGCAGGCGAAGTGATGTGTTACACCAATCAACTAGGCTTATTGTATGTCCTTTCTGAGAGTTTTCAGACGCTGATACACGTAGCAAAATACATCCATTCCCTTGATTGTTTCCCTCCGCATTCTGAACAATAAAAGTATTTTAAAGTCCTCGTATGTATGGTTTTAGTTTTCTCTAGGCGAAATATTAACAATTTGCAAGATAAAAAGATAGATTACATGTGAATTGGAAAAGCATGACAGCTACTTTTGAACCGACGACAGGTCCTACCTACACCATTGTGTGTGTGTCTACACAAAGGAAACATACAAATTGTTTTACCGGGCAAGTGAGTGTGGGTGTGCCATGGGGATAAGCAAAGTTGAGCAACAACAGAACGTTACAAATTTGGCAATGTATCATTAACTTTAACAAATATTCCACTTGATGAATTTGATATTTTGGTTATAATTCCCGGCTGGATGAAATAGGACACCTTTGAATTTGATGGTCTTTCTTCGCTCTCTCATGGCCACATAAGATTGGTCTATTCAATAATGTGTCACACTTACTATTGGTCGATTTTCTCAACACTAGTACTCGAAGGTTATCCACTGAGTAGTTTTTGTTTCTCGTTTACTCACTCACATACACGTGCCTATTCACACAGGCAAAGAAATCGATATGAATCGCTGTGTGCCAAGCTCAATGCAGGATAGACGTTTTGCTATCGCCGGATTCCTATACCCAGAAAGATCAGCTGATCGACTGCTGTCGGTCCTTTACACTGACTGGCTGTTTGAGATAAGGCGATCAATTTTCCTCGCATTTGATCATTGTATTGATCAATACCGGTTGTGAGAGTAGGTGAACTATGCAGATTTTCTGCTTCCTCCTTCAGGTGTCTGTCATCCTCCTAGAAATGCTTGTGCTCAGCAACGCAATACACTAGAAGGAATCATAGTAATTAGACATCATAGTATAACACGGTCGATATCTTTCATAAATAATACAAATTATAAATCTCCAGGAAAGGCAGAAAGATGTTTTCCCTTGATAGCATCCGACCGTAAAACGCTACTGAGCGATGATTACAACACCTAGTTATGAGACTGGTAAAACGAACCAAATCCGAATCGATCGGTAACCCGTTGGTGAATCAAAGTCACCATGATGTGATCCGATTAGAATGTCAGGAAATTGTCACCGAGACGAGATCATTCTGTTCGACAAGCCTAAGGGGTTCATCCGAACCACGCTGGCCCCAAAAGAACGAGGAGGTCTTTGCGGAACTGTTTACGCTCAATCGTGCAGTGTTCTCTCAGCGTGTATTGTACTTTATTGTGAAGCAAAACACGCAAAGGCTCCATCTATCAAAATTGCTTTGCTATCACCATCAACCGTGTCGTTATGACAAACCAACTACGTTTGCTTTTTTAAACTACAATTGTTTTTGCACTAGAACAAACCTCTTTAGAGTGCCTGGTGCTTCTGAACAATCGAGTGGGCTAATCCAAGCTTGATACTCCAAATTGATTGAGCCATTCACACAAGATGATGACCGTCGGCCGTGTAAGCTCAAGGGTAGGGGTTTGAAATCCCGCCAACCCGACTGCGATTCAAGTCCTGACAGAGACACAAAAAAGGTACGCACTGGTGACAAGTCTCAAAACAGGACGAAACAGCTATCCAATGCTCTTTGTTGGTTATCATAAACATTTCCATCGCATTAGGACAAACCTCGTTTAAATATTCATATCATGAAGTCGCATGCGGATTATACGGTACGTGACGCAATCGAATGACGGGTGACATGAAACAGTGATTCGTTTCTCGTGGGGACCCACTGGTACCATGTGTGTGTACTTAATGTCCCACTGTCCCTGACGGGATTCGAACGCACTGTTGATGAATTACAACAGAGATGAAATTACTTTTCACTGCTTGCTATCGATTATCATCACTGCATATGCAGAAAAGCATTCATGAGCCGAAAATCCTAGGGGAACGAGACCCATTTCTTAATAACATCTGGCCAACACCGAGTGTTTATGAATCAGCACGTACTATGCAAAATATTATTTTTCATTTAGTAAAACTCATTTATTTATCTGTATCCGTCAGTAAGCAATTATTACTTAGGCACACTGATTTAGATAAGTCTGAAAGTAGCCGAAATAGAATATGTTTTCTCGGCATTTTTCATCAGGCCAATACACGCTATACAGTCGGATATTTATACAGAAAATATAGCTCAATAAATAATCCGTAGTGTAAATGTGTGTGCGTGTTTGTTCAGTTATTGTGATGGTTGCTGTTAGGTGCTGTGTCCGGATGGACCAGTTACAGACGAGTAAAACTGATGTTTTTTTTCATGGGCGCAGTCACCTTCGACCAAAGATGAAGTAAGATCTCCACGAGCTGTTTCTGTGACCACAGCATTGACTGGTTTAGGCTTTTCATGATCGGTTCAGTTGTAGAAAGGATCCTGTTTCTCACCTCTAACATTCAAAGATTTATTATGGGAATAACTTAAAAGCTTATGCTTTTCTCGTCCCATTGTTTCGTGTTGTGGTAAGAGAGAATTTTGCACACAAATCCACTTGTAAATATGCCACTGCTGCACGCAGCTGGAATGTAAGGTGTGCTACTCTTTCATTGAGTCCCAGTTTCAAATATTCAATACTGGGTGAACAGACGAAATAGGGTGGGAGAGAGTTCCACATCGAAAACACTCTGACAGCGAACGACTGACACCAGCATTCCAATCGGTGTTTTGAGGCCACTAGTTTGAACAGATGAACGTGACGGATGAACGTGATGGGTGATAATTTTAGCAGCGAGTGATACAGGTGGTTTGGATTTTGCCTTATTTGGTATACGATAATCATATCCCCTCTGATGCACCGGTAGTGATTGGAATATAACCCCAGTAACTCCAATCACTCTGCGTCTTTTTCTTCAATTCTCCTGCTAAGCATTCAGGTGACCGCTTACTAATCTGGTACCAAATAGAATTACGAACTTCTTGACATGGATTCCGAGATTTTCACAGTAATGACTCCATTGAAAACCAACTATACTTTGGGAAAATAATTGCTGTATAGGACAAGCGCTGTTATTGAATCATTATTCGGGTAGGCAGTCCTTGCCGGAGAGCATCTATCAAATATCAATGACATATCTTACCGTGCGTGACATTGAGAAGCAATTTATGTGAGTGATGGAGGATTTTATTTAATTTCTGAGTGAAAATTCCGTCATGTATATGGCAAATTCAGCGTGAACCGAAATACTAGGAAGTACTACAGGATAGCTGTTTCGACCTGGTTTGGTCTCATCAGTGCAGTGCGAATCCGCCGAACTCGGGACCTCACGGGGGAAGGGGGTCGGGGGGGGGGTTGCAGAAAGCAAGCACGCTACCTATTCGGCCATCGGGAGGTTGATCAGACCGTCTTTCGTTCATTTTCCATT